CAGCTGAGACTGTCACGTGACAGGCTTGCCAACATGCTCAACAAGGATTGCAATCTTTGTCAATTTGTGTATGTTTTTGTTAGTAAATGAATATTCGCCTTTTTTTTTAATCAGAGGCAATTAATATACATCTTCTCATATTGCCTGATTTTTGAAGATTTGTAAATGATCATGTCTTTTTTGTCTTTCCTTTGTTGCAATCTTTGTGATTTTGTGTATGTTTTTGTTAGTATATGAATATTCGCTTTTTTTTATCAGAGGCAATTAATATATATCCTCTCATATTGCCTGATTTTTGAAGATTTGTAAATGATCATGTCTTTTTTGTCTTTCCTTTGTTCTCTTTGTCAGGTAAAGGCATACGGGGAATAAAACACAGACTGAGATTCGTTTCATTTGATATTTGTTAAATGTTCATCAAATAAACAAATAAACAGATCAAGCAAAAGTTAACTCTTTATTGATTTCTTTCTAAAGCATAAAAAATGCTAGTGCGCAGTGAAGGATTTTATATAGCGCATCTCTGCAGCTTCGTATTAATTTATATTGACGGTCCCTTTCACACAGCTGTCACAACGTAAACAAACTGAATTGAAGTAAGTGGTTTATTGAAAAAATACCCCCATAGAGCTGTTTCTAAGTGTTGTATAGCTGGCTTTAATAGAAATATGAAATCACGAGGTTTTGTTGTGCAGTTTTAGACTAAAGAAAAGGCAATTTGTGTGTGAGATAGATTAGTATAGGCCTATATACATGTCAAATTGTTTTCCGAGCAACGAATTTTAGGAGCGAGGTGTGAATTCAGTTTTTTGAAGCTCATTATCGAAACTTTGAATAAGAATATCATGGCTTTCATTTTATGGTATAGTTTCTGTTTCAAATTGATACGAAACACAAGGTAATCGCTACTTGGAATGAGAACGTCGATGAATTCAATTTCCTGCATTTAGTAGTCTAATTGTCTCTGTAAATAATTTCTGGGAAGGCATAGTTGTAGAAGTTTGAGAAAATGAAAAGGGATATTGTTGACAAATTGAATGCACTTCACTGATATTAAGTCCCTATTACTCCAGCCTACAACCTTGGAGGCACTCTTGGGAATCCAAAAACTGCATATGAATCAAAAACTTCCAAACTTAAGAGTCTTGGGGCTTTTTCCTGACCCCCACCTGATCACCATTTTGTGTGACCTATTTTGTTCATTTCTAATGTTATTCTTTGCTTGTGCAGATTATTACATATATCAGTGTACTAGTTCTCACTTTCTAAAAGTGTTCCAGGATTTCCCATATCTTAGTGCAGTCACTATGTAAATACCTATCAATGAAAGTACCCTTTTCGGAGCTTTACCTGTAGTGTGGGAAGGGTAAACACATTCTCTCTCTCTCTCTCTCTCTCTCTCTCTCTCTCTCTCTCTCTCTCTCTCTCTCTCTCTCTCTCTCTCCTCTCTCTCTCTCTCTCTCTCTCCCTTCCCTCCCTCCCTCCCTCCCCCCCTCTCCCTCCCTCCCTCCCCCTCTCTCCCTCTCTCCCTCCCTCCCTCCCTCCCTCCCTCCCTCCCTCCCTCCCTCCCTCCCTCCCACCCTCTCTCTCCCTCTCTCCTCCCTCTCTCCCTCTCCCCTCTCTCCCCTCTCTCCCCCTCTCTCCCTCTCCCCTCTCTCCCTCTCTCCCTCTCTCCCTCTCTCCTCTCTCCTCTCCCTCTCTCCCTCTCTCCCTCTCTCCCTCTCTCCCTCTCTCTCTCTCTCTCTCCTCTCTCTCCTCTCCTCTCTCTCTCTCTCTCTCTCTCTCTCTCTCTCTCTCTCTCCCTCCCTCCCTCCCTCCCTCCCTCTCTCTCTCCCTCTCTCTCTCTCTCTCTCTCTCTCTCTCTCTCTCTCTCTCTCTCTCTCTCTCTCTCTCTCTCTCTCTCTCTCTCTCTCTCTCCCTCCCTCTCTCTCTCTCTTCTCCCTCTCTCTCTCTCTTTCTCCTCTCTCTCTCTCTTCTCCCTCTCTCTCTCTCTTCTCCCTCTCCTCTCTCTCTTCTCCCTCTCTCTCTCTCTCCCTCCCTCTCTCTCTCTCTCCCTCCCTCTCTCTCTCCCTCCCTCCTCTCCCTCTCCCTCCCTCCCTCCCTCCCTCCCTCTCTGTCTGCCTGTCTGTCTGTTATTAACTCTTTCGGCAGACTCATCTTTACTTTTTGCCATTTTCCAAGGCCTATATTTGTCATTTGTTATGCTGTATTAAGATAACAATAGAATGCTGCTGCTCTGTTTTCTTTAATACACCCTGCACCACTGGTAATGGCAGGCAGGAATAGGGTCATGGGTTAATCTTTATGGTATGGACATACTAAGCTAGGGCAAATTGAAGACAATATTCTCGTAGAAGACAAAAAATTGTAGTTGTTGGTACAAGAAATATTCTGGGGTCATGAATGGTAACATCACAAATAAAGGAAAAGGATCATGGAAAGTGCTGAATATGCCCTAAGCCCACTTGGTGCTCCTGAGTTTCATTCCTAACTTGCTATGTATACTAAGGTGAATAGTTTTTACTAGGGAGTATTGAGGGGCAGAGCTCCCTATCAACTCTCCCTTTGGGCAGTTGGGCATGTTAAATAAAGTTTGTGACATGGAGGTGGGGACTTAGTTTCTGGTAAGTGTGCCTGTACCTGTGTCATGGGTTAAATACTTATACCATGATTTTCTGTACTTCCATTTAACTCATTGGATCCAGATGCTTCACTGGATCATATGGCCCAAAATATAGGCATTAGGCTCATGGGAATGGACACTTCCGGGTGTGCGGCTTGTCGGCCCGGGTGCAAACAAACATTCATGTGTTTATTTGCATTCCTTCTCTTTGCAATGTTATTTTGTCTTTTTCAGCTTAAGCATTTTTTAATTTGTTGCCAGTTTCCATTGTCTGTATTTGCCATTTGATTTTTTTTTTTCCAGATTATAATAAACTATTTTCCTTACCCAAACTCCATTCATCTCTAAGTAGTCTATAACACAGTGCAATAATAATAATAACAATAAGTAACCTTTTGTTATTTGTCTTTTTTTTTCATAATATTCAATTTTCTGTTATACACTCTATGCTCCTGGTCATGGCAGTGGAAATAGCAACGTCCCTGGAGCCAGCGTTTTTCCAGTCATAGCTCATGGACATTACATTCCATACTTGTTTATTGATAGAAATAATGCAAAAGGCCCATTTTATACACCAAATGAATTTAATCACCCTCAAATAGCTTTGTGTACTCTTGGCAAGTCTTTCCCACGCACTCTGGCCTTCACCCGAAATTCTCACGATAGCAGGTTCAAGTCACACAAATTTTCCCATGGTGGCATGTTCATGTCACCTCCATCTCAAGCCAAATTTTTTTTATGATATGATGGTCACATCATTTGGACACAAGCCATTGCCTTAAGCTGACAGATAGTTGGTAAGACTGTCACATTGTTTACTTCAGTGTAACCACACTTGGTTATTGCTCCATATTTTTGTTGCCTTTTTTATTGTGTTTAAGTGGTTTAGTATTTATCATCATCTATTAACATGTCATCTGGAGGAAGAGTAGAAAAGTGGGCAAGGGTGAATTTCATAGTTGCACAAAAACTTTAGTTATTCAGAAAGTCAGAAAATATGTCTCTGAAGGGTTATGTAAGGAATATTGCATAAAAATAGTTTCAGAAAAAAAATTACACTGTCAGATTGGTTTTAAGTTTTTTTTTTTTTTTTTTTTTTTTTTTTTTTTTTTTTTTTTTTTTTTTTTTTTTTTTTGTAACTATTGATATTACCCACTACATTGTCAGACAATCGGCTATATTGGACCAACGTCCTCTTCCCCTCTTTGTCTGTTAAAACAAGATTTGAGCGTAATGCCCTCCCTGGAGCCATTTATGCAAGTCTCCTTCCCAAAAGCCTACAGAGTCTATCTCCCCCTAAAGGCTTTGTGCAGTCATGGCAAGACATCCCAACACCCACCATATCCCATTGCAAGATTCTCCTGTCACCTTGGCTCTCTGCAGATTTTTCCATGATAAAATGTCAACTGCCCCTTAGCTAGATTTTTTCATGATGAAATGTCTTTGCCTCCTAGATCCAGTAGGTTACACATCATATAGTCTGTGTAATTTATCATAATTTCCAGTAATCGATTATCAAATGATTACTCCAAGATTCAGGGTTGAACTGTGTTCAGTCAAACACAACTCACCATGACACTTAAGTTTACTCTACAAGGTGATGCAAAATATTTGGTTATAAAGTAATGGTTCTTTTCTGTTTATCAAAAACTTTCAAACATATATTTACTCACCATGCTCCATGGTGGTTGGGAAGGAGGGAGGAGCGAAAGAGCAAGAGAAAGTGTTTCAAAACACGCACACACACGCACACACACGCACACACACGCACACACACGCACACACAAGCACACACACGCACACACACACACACACACACACACACACACACACACACACACACACACACACACACACACACACACACACACACACACACACACACATACACACACGCACGACTCTTTATTAATTAAGAATACAACACAGTGATGGAAACACAGTCTTAGGGTAAGCGTTGAGCTTGGGGTCGCATGGTCCTGCACTCCATCCCTGAGGCAAGAGGCTAGCCTCGTCACATGGAGTGCTGGGCACCCACTGAATAAACCTATGTCATCCTTGGGCATAAATAGCTTGCATCCACTGGAATGTGGCTTGGGACACCAGCTGCAGGAAGTGTAGGGGGAAGCGAGGTGAGGTCACTGATTCCTTACTGGACTTAGAGCCACATGGCTTACACAAATCATGCTTATGTACACAGTATATTGCTCGGCCACAGTGTAAGAGGCACAGAACCTTAATACAATGGCTATGACTGGTTGGTCAGTGAAAGTGGTTCTAATGGCATGACCCTTGGGTAAACATGGTGTCCCGTATCCAGCCAGCCAGCCAGTGAGGCGGCTAGAGGCGGTGACTACCTGGTCACGTCAGTTGCTGA